AGAAACCGATTATATATTAATATAACATATTGATCGGTCCGATGAGTTTACCGTTTTTTTTTCCTTTTTTAACGTTATTGACATATAAAAAGTGTTTATTGTCCCGGTACTTAAGAAATATATACATAAATTTTATTTTTTTTAAATCTGTACTCCGAAAGGTAATAGAAATTGGCATCAGTCTTTGGAATGAACATAAAAGCGAAGGATTATTTACGTCCTTTTCGCCGTGATCAGTCTTGTATAAGGTTAACAAAATTTTTAGTTTTTAGTTTCCTTGTCTTTTAATTGAGCGGTTAAGTTGTTTAGCGATTCTTTTTTTTCCTTTTTTTCTGGTCTATATTCTTTTTTTTTTTTCTCTTTTATATATGCTTTTCTTGATATTTATAAAAAAGGTGGCATAAGTAACTTATGTATGCATTTTTGTACATATTTTTTTGATTAAACTGTTGTGATATGTCTTTTGTCTTTTTTTTTGTAAATTTTTCTTTTTTTTTTTCTTTTTTAAATACACAGTTCTGGCTCCTTACCTTCGGCCTAGAGTGCTCCATCTAGTTTGGTTTCTCGCAAACAATTTATTAGCTCTTTAAAAAGCTCAGGTTTTTTAGTGGTGATAATTTCATTTATGGTCTTGTACGTGTCAAAGAGTTTAAACTTCATTCTCATAGCATTGTACTTATCACAGTGGAAGATTTGATGATCAGGAGTTTCCAGCGTATCGCAAGTGTTGCAGTACTCACTAACATTTGGTACAAATTGTTGTAAATAGATGCTGTTATATGTATGTCCGGTAATTAGTCTGTTGAGTAGCTTCATGTCATATGGCTCTAAGTCAAATCTCTTGTCCTTAAACCAAGGTCGTCTTTCCTTCATCGCAAAAAGTGAACAGTTTTGGCAGTTTCAACTCATTCTTTTTTTCGCTCTATTCTTTTTTTACTTGTGGTACACAAATGTCAACGGCCAGGACGGCACAATCTTGTATTCTATCCCCAGCAAAACCAGCGTGACCGAAACTCCAACACAAACGCAAATTTTATGGTGTTACTAACACACCTGTAATAACACTATGCGACAGTCAAAATCGGGATGGGATGAAACCAACGGGAAATGTTATATCGGTCAAAAACAAGTTATACGTGGCCCGGCGTTTCGCTGGGTCACGTCTAGGAATCGAGATATATCGATTTGAAGTTAGTAACTATCATATAGGGGAAATTGTCACCTTTGGTGGTCTTTTTTTTTGACATAACTCGAGAACCACTAGTCCGATTTTGCTCAAACAAATTTAAAAAAATTAAAAATTACAATTCCTTTAATCTGTTCATATAACGTTTTTCTATATAATCAACAGTTTTGCCGGTAAAAATAAATGTATGAAGAAAAAAATATTTTTTGCCTAAAATATTAAATTTTTTTATTTTTTAAATTCATAATAATAATAATTTTTAATTTTACGTGTTAATAATAAATAATATATAATAAATATTATCCAAATTCATTGAAACATAAAATCAATATTCTTGTCAAAATGAGATACCTTCACTTAATTGTGAATAAAAGCGAAACGCGTCTATCGATTTTCATGATCTATGTCTCATTTTGCTTAAAGGTTATGTGACTTTGCGTGAAAGTAATACGACTTGCCTTTTTTTCCGTTTTGGATTTTTTATGAAAAACGTTATATGAACAGATTAAAGGAATTGTAATTTTTAATTTTTTTAAATTTGTTTGAGCAAAATCGGACTAGTGGTTCTCGAGTTATGTCAAAAAAAAGACCACCAAAGGTGACAATTTCCCCTATATGATAGTTACTAACTTCAAATCGATATATCTCGATTCCTAGACGTGACCCAGCGAAACGCCGGGACACGTATAACTTCTTTTTTACCGATATAACTTTCCCCGGTAGGTTGAACCCTTCCCGATCACTGACCCCTACCATTTGTCTCACAGTGTAATTTTTGATTGGAGTGCCATCTATTGTTTTTTCGTGCGAGCTATCTTTCGCATATGAGTAAGTAGTCAAGCTAATCTTTTCACATATGAGCAAGCAGGCAAACTATTTGGTTTGAAAAATCACACGTACACAAAACTTCTGGGAGCATTTTTGATTCACTATTAAGAATGTGATAGCAAAACGTGCCGAACTTAGCGGGCACGCGTGACCGTCACTGTTCTTGCTGGGTCATTCTTGTCGTTAGAATGTGTTAGAATCAGTGTTGCAACAAATATTTTTAATTTTTTTCCAAACCTCTAAAAAAAAATCACCAAACTCAGAAAAAAATTAGCAAATTTTTATGAGCATAATATTCTAAATAAATTGGAAATTATTTTTCGACGTATGTAGATAATTATTTTGGCGACGACTGAACTACATCACGTTTGGGATTGTGGCCAGCTTAGATCTATTTATATTTTTCGACCGAAAGATGAGTTCTTCCTCTTATTTTATAACAAACTCATAAAACGCTGCCGCGTTCAAAAAATTCAAATCACCATCGACAGAGCGCTTAGATAACGAAGATGAACAATTTACAGCTGTGGTTATCCTTTTGAATGTGTTCCGACTATAACAATTCACAAATATTTTTAAACATAACACAAAAAAATCGCTCAGAGATTTACAAACATTTATGATGTTAAGTTAAGATGTTTAATAGTTCATTTCCACTGCAGTTTATGCCTATAGGAAAAAAGCAGATTACAACTCGAAGGAGGTAGTTGCTCATATTAAGTACAAGCAAATGAAAGGAAAATAATAAAAACGAATAAATAAACCTTGCAGATCACCTCTTGTTAAAATTATCTAAACTCTTAAGTGTAGTTCAGCGTTGGGTGGAAATGGGCTGTAACATACAGTCTTTTACATAAAGTATTTTACATAACTTAAAACCAAAACATGAAACCAACAAATGTATCGTTAAACGATAGATAAAATTTACTTTTACAATTTTATAAATGGGTGACATTCGTATTTAATCACAAAATTTGAGTTAGTCCTGTGAAATTATTTTCTTTCACCTTTGGTTCTGGAAGGTAAAAATGATCCAAAACCCTGATTTGTGGGACTGTAGGGGCTGTGATCGAGCCGCCATATTCTGAAAAATGGGTTGTTTCCTTAAATTGCTATATTGCGAACTCATACTAAAAGTTCTGAGATGTCAAGGCAAATTTTTGCATTGAAGATCCCTTTAAATTTTTGGCTCTTTTAAGGTGTAGACACATACATATGTAAGTACATAAGCAAATTTTTTTTGTTTTGTGCAATTGTAAGAAGGTTCAAAGTTATAAATTTTATAAGTAATAAGTTAGTATTAAAAATTCAAAAGAAGGGACTTACGTTGAAAAAAATTACCAAATTGAAAAAAAAATACCAAATTACCAACCTCGTTCTAAAAAGAGAAAATTACCAGTTTTGGCAAAAAAATTACCAGTTTTGGTAAAATATTACCAAAGCGGCAACGCGGGTTAGAATGCCGACTACTGAATTAAAGTATTAAGTTGATCAACAATACCACGCATCAGTGATCGGACTTCAAAAAAATTCTGTGTGGTAGAATCTGGAAAAAAATGTGGTAGATTTCAAAAAACTGTGGTAGATCTCTGGGTTTATATCAAACTTTGTACAAAAATTAAAAAAATTCTGCAAGGTTTCACCTAAATTGCAAACTTTTTAATTAGACTCTAAAAAAAATTTAATTTTAGTATAATAAAGTGCAAGATTGAAGTTGCTAAGAATTGCGTTGAGTTTTGGCAATTTTTTTCCTTGACAGTGTAAAGCATTTCCTTTCATATTAAGATAAGATATCCAGAAATAGCTAATTAGGATGTGAAGATTTTGACAATTCTTAAGAAAAACAACGCCTCGGAAACCTTAGATGATCTTAAATTTGCTAAGTTTATTTTATCCTCCCATTCGGCTTTGTTTACTTTAACTAGAGAAATTTCATCGTCGTCGGGATTGCGGAATCTTGTATTATATCATTTTTGTTACCATATAACGTTTAGTGTTGGACAATCTTTGCTCTTAAAGTTAAGAAAATTATGTCAAGCAAAAATAAAACTACTCAAAAACGCGAATATGTGGTAGATTTCAGACCTTGAGTGGTAGATGTGGTAGACTCTCAAAAAAGTGGCAGATCTAACACAATGTGGTAGAAGTCCGATCACTGCCACGCATTGCTAGACCGTTTGCCTTTCACGTGTTTGTGTCAGCGTTGCCACTAACAATTTTTTTCCCCTACCAATTTTCTTCCCAAATCTGACCATAATCGTTTACAACCTACCAAATAAATTTCAATTACAAAAACGCATTCTGAAATCATACAATTCATTTATTTAAGATTAAATGTTTCGAATACAAAATATTTACATACATACATATATGTAGTCTGTACATTTTAAAACAAACAAGAAATAAATAAATGCATATACAGTCTTATGCAGCGTTTTTGCTGCATTTAAAACGCAACATTTAGCACTTTCGGACATATTTTTTCGAAGAGCGTTCATGCCATAGCATTTAGCAAATGTACATTTACGCGAGTTCGAAATCGTATGCTTTTGACAAACAGCCGTGTTCCAGTCGCTTATTCAGATCCGGATCTATCACGATCAATTCTCACGGAGAAAATAATGTGCAAAAAATCCTACAGAAAAGGCAAAAATTAATTTTAATACAAAAATTCAATACAAAAACTGGAATTGTTTTAACCATAACTGAATATTTTTTTTGTGTATATATTTATTTGTCGCTGCTGCCAATTAAAATTTCCTTAATTAATTAGGAAACAAGATAAGCAGAGTTGAGCATAAATTGAAGATCAACGAGTTGGTTTTAGCATTTAGATTCTTAATGCAGAAATGGAGTTGCATTTAGTAAAGTAAATTTTGCTACTGGTTTATAACAACCGAAATTAATTTTGGCATTCTAGACCAATGGTTACAACATTTTATAAACCAGTGGCAGCACCGCATAATTTGACAATACAACAAGCTGTCAAATTTGCTTTTGACAATTCAAAAGCAAAACAAAAGAAAATGAAATGGCTGAGGCTGCGGAAAAGAAGTAAGTTTTGTTTATTTTATTAGAAATTTAAAACTAAATTAAGATTTTTTTCAGAAAATATACGCTAATAACAAAATCGCAATTGAAATGGTATGTTCAATTCGTTAAAAATAACCCGCTAATTATTAGTGGCAAAAATACACCATCAGACCCACAAGCTCAGAAAAGATTGTGGAATGAAGTTGCCAGGAATCTCAACGCAATGTATGGGCCTGATAAAACCCCGGAAAAGTGGAAAGAGGTTAATGCTACATATATTTTATTATATACATATGTATTATTATGGCTGAGATTTCCATTACGGAACCAATTGGTATTCCGTGCAAAGTATACTGAATTTTTTTATGAAACTCGGTGGGGATACTAATGGAGGTCTCCTTCAACTATATTTCTCACTTTCACAATGTTGTTGCTAATAGTACTAAAGTTATTTGTTGTTAAAATATCCCGCTTGCTATCACTACATTTTATTATAACCCCACACCTATCACTCTTATTTACACAAATATGTATATTATCCTTAAAAGGTTCGCATGCGTTTGTAATACTTTAATATACAGTTCTTAATTAATTAATTAAGTAAAACGCGTTTATAAATGTCTTCACAAACGTTTGCACATTTCACAAACAAGCAGAAATAACAATGGTTGACAGTAACACAAAATGTATGCTACCATACGATAAAAAAATACACCACAAATAAGTGCGTACAATTGGGGGGTACAGGTGTATAATACGTACATTGCTCTTATTAAAAATAATATTAGGATCGAAAGGGGTCTTACTCCTGATCATAACGGTATAATTTTTTTCGGGGGGGAAATAATATTCACTGGTGTTATTGTAGTTCAAAGTACACAAATGTAGAAAAGTACGTCGATAATTTGATAATGAAAATTTTTAATAAAAAATCGCGATAATGAAACTTTTTAATAAAAAATCGCGCGATTCCATAAGAATCAATACTTCGATAAATAATAAACATTTTTACGCACGCCACAAATCGGAGGAGAAGCTGGGCCAACAACTAACATATGTGTAGGCGCCAATCTATTATTATTATTAATGTTAATTAAGTTCTGATTTATTATAAAATATGAGTATTATTTATATAGTATACATAGCGTCGCCAGAAATGCAAAATCCCTAACTAACATCACCACGTAAAGTACAAACAAGCCATTATTAAAAAAATATCAAAAATCATTTGGTGCATTTCATCGATTTATGAGTAATTTTATGCAAAAACAAAATTTTTTTAGTAATGGTTTTTCCTGCTTCAAGTGTCGATACTAGCTACGGCTTTTGCTATTTCGGGCGACGATATACAAGTACATATAAGTATTATATAGAAATGTCATGAAGGCTGAATTATTTAATAAAGATTGTTTTGAATCTTCAGTACTTTGTTGGAATGTCATCTTACTTTTGATTGCTTATCTATGTATGTATGTATATATTTATCATATTGGAAGGCGCGAATCACTTTAGACCTTGGTTAAGAACGTTACGAAATGATCAGCCCGACAACTTGGGTTTACGATAATATTTCAAGTTTTTTATTATATACAGCAGTGGAGTAGCCAGGGGGGGAATGGCAGGATAGACCCCCCCCCCCCCCCCCCCCCTTCGTCATTGAACTACAATTATTTACTTTTGAATTAATAACACAATACTATTTTATCCTTCTGATTTAAAATTTTTTTATTTCAGACGGATGACAAATTATCTTTTAATGAATATATGAGTAGTCCACTGCAAACAGCGTTATGTGATTTTATAAAAGTAAGCCATAAATTAAAAAAAAAGTCTACGACAACAAGTAACATCCGAACTGTATCTTTTTTTATTACCTGAAAATTTGGATAATACCATTAAAAATATAAAATTGCAGTATGGTAGATTTGCAAATTTTATATTTAAAAATTTAATATTGCAAGTTTTGAAACAGTAACTTTTACATAGCTAGCTTTTTTAGCTTTTCGCGTTCTCTCCTCTAGGAAGATTGGTTTGCTTCTTTTTTGCGACCTCTTCCACTAGGCACCGAAACTACCACGTTTCTTGTAGTTTTCTAAGTTCATACGAAGAGGAGACTTTTGAAAGTGTATAAATAAGTATTATAGCGACTTTTGCAAGAGTAGTTAACATTTCATGCTATTTTTTCAGAATATAGAAAAATTTTTCACTCTGCTGTTAATGGACATGAAACCCACCAAAAACTAAAAATCGAACAAAAATTTACATAGCGCACTTTGCAAGTGGACTACTCAATTGTTGAATATGCTATCTTATTTGTCCCTTCTTTTTATACAATTTAGGAGCGGCTGAATGGTTTAACGATGTTAGCGGTACATAATGATGTGCCGATTACAACACAAGAAGTAATTGAAAAAATGTGTGTTAATCAACGAAGATTAAAAATCGCTTTATAAGTAATAAGATTTTGTAGACTTGTACATAAATAAATGTAAATAGATATGCGTAAATATATAAATTTGCAGATATATTCAATGTGTAAAAACTGAAGTGTATACTAACGAAACTTCTACAAAACAAAACTGCCCTGCAGTGAAAAATTATCAATTGTTAAAACTAACCAACTTATAGTTAGCTTTTTGGCGAGATTTCGATTAATACCTCACTTTTAATTAGCTATGACAAAACCAACTTAAAGTGAATTGTAAGGTCGTGCAGGAGTCATGCAGACGCAATCGGGAGTTGGTTTTCTTTACAAGTTTCTATTAAATATCCTCATACAAAAATTACTTTCAATACACTTTTTTTCTGAACTTCGCAGATTCTTTTTCATATTCAGGACAAATAAAAGGAAGATCGAAATTTTATACTATCATTTTGAAGTTATGTCTGACGGTGTTCGAATATGGGGCCACCCAGAGCCGAATATGTAAACAAATATGAAATGTAATAAAATAAAGTAATTAAATAAGTAAATAAAAAAGTAAAAAAACAAAAAATATTTTGTTTTTCTTATTGATATTTCATGTCCAAAAGTAGTTAGTTACAAGTTAGTTGACATGTAATGCAGAGGTATCCAGGTCTGACTCTTTTGCGGCCATCGCCCCACAAAAGTAGTTAGCTTTTTTCGAACAAAATACACAGTTAATAGTTAGCACTAGTGTTCGCGTAAACAGACTAAAGTTAGGTATAAGCTAACGTCACTCCCTGCAGGGTGGACTACAAACTAATTAATTAAAATGGTGTAGTAATTTAATTTTTTAAATTTAAATAAAGCAGGAATTCCCCATGGAATAATCGAGTAGACAAAAAATATATAACGGTAAAAATGGCACATACTGTATGTGACATACATACATATATGAAAGAATGCCCACAGGCGACGCCTCTAGCCATTGTGTATCACAACTTTAAGTTATCGATGCAAATTTTTTAAACCCCCCTTCGCGAAATCCTGGCTACGCCACTGGTATACATATACAGATACATAAATACATAACAGGTACACGCATACCTGCGGTCAACTAATTAGCATCGAAATTCAAAATTATATTATGCAGAACTTATATGTTTGTTTATTTATTTTTAATAATTTTAATTTAAAACATGCTTCAATTTATCCCAGAAACCAAATACATAAATAAAAGTTTAAAACCTTGCACAAATTTCAAAAAATTACTCAAACTTAAAAACATTTTCATCAAATTTCCAAATTTTTAATCAGAATATTTAGAAAATTTTCGGGAATGCAGTTTTGTAGCCCATTCAGTTTTAGTGTTGATTTTTTTGTGGAGGGTGTTGCGGATTTTTTTTACATAAAAATAGATTTTCATTATGCGTTATATGGAAGAAAATCCGCAGCACCCCCACAAAAAAATCAACACTAAAACTGAATGGGCTACAAAATTGCATACCCGAAAATTATCTAATTATTCCGATTAAAAATCTGTAAATAGTTAAATTGAAAAATTAATGAGAAATATGAGGAATAGCTACGTTCCAGATGCTTCACGATTTGCAGGTTTTACATGATTTGCAGGAAAAGCTGTTTTCTCCATTAGTAAACCTTATGGAAGGTGGTCACCTGGAACGGCTTCCTGTAAAAACCTGCAAATCGTGAAGCATCTGGAACGCAAATAATATTAGAAAATTCCTACCCTCGTTTTTTTGCGTTTGTGTCTCGTTCGCTGTTGGGAAGCAAATCTCCCTGCCTTTGACTTTTACAATCAACTCCGATATGTAATGGAGTGACTGTTTCGCGGTCAGATTGACTCATAACAGTTAGGCAATTGCTACCGACACATTTCTGGTATGACCCGTGAGAAAAAAAATATAAGGTTGCTAGAAATCTTAGATAAAATGGCAACGATGTCTTCTGCCTGAAATGATTTCCTATTAATAAATTGTTCATAAAAATTAGCATCTTACTTATCATACTTACTTGTCATATGGTGCCAATTCATTTATTAGCTCTAAACAAATGGATTTCTTTAGCCGAAAATGTTGTATAAAACGGTTGTCTTCTAAATTAAAGGGGTCGTTTCTTTCCCGCAAACTTCTCAACATGTCTCTTCTTATATATTTTTCCTGATCCTCAATAATCAGTAGACGCAGAATTTGTCTGTACATTTTTGTGTTACTTTTTATTTCAGTGAAAAATGCAAAACTAAACAGCTGATTGCTTGTTACCTCCTATTTCGTAGGTAACAAAATTTACCAAGTAACAGCGAACTCAGAATACGGAATAGGAACAAAAGTTACCGAAAGGTAAATTTTAGTACCAAAGTAAATTTTATTACCACTTTAGAATAGACCTGTTAGAGTAGCATTTAGAGCTAAATGTGCTTTTACGCGTAAGCAAAAACAGCTCATTAGGCACAGAGATGAGATCATTTAACGTTTCTTGGTCGTATGAATTATATAAATATGTACATGTTATGTACCAATAAGTTTAATTTCTTAAAAGTAAATTTAAATCATTTAATTACACATGCAAATCTTTAGCAGCTGACCACACATAGTGCGGGCCATTTTTGTTTACAAAGATCCTTGCATAACATTATGCTATTGATACTGTCAATCTTATGTTTATTTCTTAGTTTAGTTTTTATCAAAGAAACCGTTGAAAATTTGCGTTCTACAGCAGCAGAGCTATAGGGTAATGAAATTATATTAAAAACAAAATTGGCGAGATGCATGAAGCTATTTTCATTCATTCCATTTTTATTAGAATAAACTTTTTCCTAAAACATACATTGACTTTAC